TATCAGACATTGTTTTATCATTGTTTTATCAGACATTGTTTTATCATTGTTTATATCATTGTTTTACATTGTTTTATCAGACATTGTTTTATCATTGTTTTATCAGACATTGTTTTATCATTGTTTTATCATTGTTTATCATTTTTACATTGTTTTATCAGACATTGTTTTATCATTGTTTTATCATTGACATTGTTTTATCATTGTTTTATCAGACATTGTTTTATCATTGTTTTATCAGACATTGTTTTATCAGACATTGTTTTATCATTGTTTTATCAGACATTGTTTTATCATTGTTTTATCAGACATTGTTTTATCATTGTTTTATCATTGTTTTATCATTGTTTTATCAGACATTGTTTTATCAGACATTGTTTTATCAGACATTGTTTTATCATTGTTTTATCATTGTTTTACATTGTTTTATCAGACATTGTTTTATCAGACATTGTTTTATCATTGTTTCATTGTTTTATCAGACATTGTTTTATCAGACATTGTTTTATCAGACATTGTTTTATCAGACATTGTTTTATCATTGTTTTATCAGACGTTGTTTTATCAGACGTTGTTTTATCAGACATTGTTTTATCAGACATTGTTTTATCATTGTTTTATCAGACATTGTTTTATCAGACATTGTTTTATCAGACATTGTTTTATCATTGTTTTATCAGACATTGTTTTATCATTGTTTTATCATTGTTTTATCAGACATTGTTTTATCAGACATTGTTTTATCATTGTTCATCAGACATTGTTTTATCAGACATTGTTTTATCATTGTTTTATCAGACATTGTTTTATCATTGTTTTATCAGACATTGTTTTATCAGACATTGTTTTATCAGACATTGTTTTATCAGACATTGTTTTATCATTGTTTTATCAGACATTGTTTTATCAGACATTGTTTTATCAGACATTGTTTTATCAGACATTGTTTTATCAGACATTGTTTTATCAGACATTGTTTTATCATTGTTTTATCATTGTTTTATCAGACATTGTTTTATCATTGTTGATCATTGTTTTATCAGACATTGTTTATCAGACATTGTTTTATCATTGTTTTATCAGACATTGTTTTATCAGACATTGTTTTATCAGACATTGTTTTATCAGACATTGTTTTATCAGACGTTGTTTTATCAGACGTTGTTTTATCAGACATTGTTTTATCAGACATTGTTTTATCATTGTTTATCAGACATTGTTTTATCATTGTTTTATCAGACATTGTTTATCAGACATTGTTTATCAGACATTGTTTTATCATTGTTTTATCATTGTTTTATCAGACATTGTTTATCAGACATTGTTTATCAGACATTGTTTTATCAGACATTGTTTTATCATTGTTTATCAGACATTGTTTTATCATTGTTTTATCATTGTTTTATTTTTTTTTCTTCTTCTTGTTTTTGGTCATTCACGTACATGTTGAATACTCGCACCCGATTTTTCTCGATCAAGATTAAAAAATCGTCAAGCCTATGGTTTTTTCTTCTTAAAAATGATCTGTTTGTTTACAAATCTATATATGATATATTGGTTGATTGACGAATCAAACGGTTTCTTCAAGCGCATGCGCTAGAATGACATCCATGCCGAGTCCGCTGTTTACACTTAATAATTTCTGTATTTAACCTTCGATGTTTTTCGGGTCAAATCATGAATGAGACACACCCTTACTTTCGTTTGTATGTAACATCAAACTAAAGCGAAATATTTATAGTTTTATGACACTAGAAATGTTTACATATTTACCAAAGTCAATATTCCTAGCACTACAGCCTTAAATGCTGAGCAAATTCGGTAGACTTTAAAAGTGGAAAGCTTTTTAAATCCGAAGACTCAGGAGTGTATATGGTTCTTGTAAAATGACAACCAATACCATCGGAGCCTTTTAAGTAATGATCAATATTGACCTCACCGTCATTATAAACATGTTTATTCGTGGCGTCATATTTTAATTAAATGTCCGTCGGTTTGGAAGAGTATACGAAACAATGGAATGTACTCCAGAGATAAATAAATGTTATTGTTTTAGGAGTAATGTACTCGTAGTATCACAGTAATTAATCTTTGATCTTTATGTCAGATCTAAAATTCCGTATAATGACACTGTCAAGGCAGAGACGGAGAGTTCGTTATTTCTTCTTTTTGTCCTGCCTTACGTATAAAGTCAATAATTCTCCAGAGAACAGCAACGTAGACAAATGCTCAACTGTTTTCTGTTTGATTGTGTGTCTCCCGTAAGTCCTCTTGGCAGCGCTGATGAAACATAATAAAACTTAACACCACAACGTTTAGGAGTTTTAGTCCCCCAAAGGTATATTTGAATGTCTACAATACTTCATGTCACGGCTTATTCATATGCACGTTTTCATGTTTACTAAATTGTTACACATTATAATCGAAGAGATGGATTTATGAGTTGCAATGAGTTGTGAAACAATCCATTTGGTTATTTGAAGCAATAAAAAATCAGATAAGAAGTTATCCAAAATATCCTTTTTATAGTTGTACACCGTTGGTGTGTGTTATCACAGAATCGTTGGCGGAGGAAGAGTCACGTGTTTAGTGCAGTTTTATTCAACAAAGGTCAACAGCCATGTTTGTTAATTCAACTTCCAAAAATTCTTTTTCAAATTAATGAACAGAAAAAAGAATTGAGAAAATTTGATCAAATTGGTTTCACTTCTGCAACTGAAGTATCATTTAAATCTGCGTTTGGTTGCATGTGCTATTTATATCAGCATCCGGGCACCCAGAGGACTTACCCAATCATACTACAGGGATTTACATGTCGCATAACAATGATAATTAGCGATAACATTAGGAGTATATAAGGACAGATTTAGACTTCCTAAATCCCAAAACGATGTATGTACAATTTAGGTACACAGACAAAGACACGTGTCTGAAATTTCACTGAAGTCGTCTGTTTATCTTACGTGCTGGCCCATTTTATCGACGTCATCAATATGTATCATTAGTTGCTTGGTTACCAGGACAGTGGCCCACCTAGACACCCCCGAATATGTTCCAATACACAGCCTGGGATTTATCTCCGATCTCAAAATCTCAAATAACTTATTAACCGTAGCTTTATTTCAAGACGTATATACTACACATTGTAATTATGGCCAGTAATAGTGACAAACAATCTGTACTGTATAAGATAGATTCAGTTTCATTACAGGTCAACCGTCTTCAATACTCCAGTATTATAGGAGTTTGCTATAAAAGGTGTCTTACATTCAAGATAAGTTTTTAACCAGTCAGCTTAAGAACTCTTTCAATAACGTGAAGTTCAACCTTTCCATAACGACCTAGAGCATTATAGGCTTCACATAACGACCATGAGCACGATAATTTCCCGATTAAATATTCTAATAATCATCTTAAGAACCTGAGTATAACGACCTTCCCAGATCTGTCCCGCACGGTATTACCTTCGTTTGACGACCATTGACATCACAAACAAACTGTTTGGTGACAGGATGTGTATAAATTACCTCTAAACTATCCCAGCATGTATATCTATTATCTGTCCATTATGACTGTCGCACTCGGAATAATAACCTCTCCAACAGGCCACGAATAGATCTTACATGAGTTTCTATGGAATGCACCCTTGCTGAGTTGATCGAGATGATTTTGATAAATTACACATTAAATGTAATCGAATTTAAGATCCTTTTTATTATATGATCGATTTTCGAGTGAACGTGATAAAAAAGGACATTTCACCGTCACACTTGAAGTCATATTGTCCGTTCTGTAGCTATAGTCTCCATTGTTACGTCACAATACCATCTGTGAATGTATGACGTCATTTCACTATTTAAAGTGGCTTCATAATGCATGTTTAATGACACCTGTGTAATACCCAAAATCATTACATAGGTATATTCACTGAATAGCAAGGCAATCCTATGATAAATGTAATCTTTACGTGATTATCAAATCTACGTGTATACCGAATCTGGCTTTACAGTTCACATGTATAAAGAGCTATCTATAACGACCATACGTTTAACCGTTACTGTCTATAACGACCATACGTATAATCGTTACTTGCTATAACGGACATACATGTCATTGCTGCCTATAAAGACCATACGTTTAACCGTTACTCTCTATAACGACCATACGTTTGACCGTTACTGTCTATAACGATCATACGTTTAACCGTTACTCTATATAACGACCATACGTTTAACCGTTACTGTCTATAACGACCATACGTATAATCGTTACTGGCTATAACGACCATACGGATATTGAATTACTATCTCTAACGACCATGCTTATAAGCACGGCTGTCTATAACGACCAAACTTTAACAAATTACTATCTCTAACGACCATATTTGTAATCTTGACTGTCTATAACGATCATACTTATGGATGTTTCTAGCGTCCATAAAGACATTGTATGACATTACTGCTCAATGCGCCCGTTAGTATGAACAAACTTTCATGGATAAAGATGTGTTAATTTCTAATCTAATTTTTGCGATTTCGTTCAGTCCTCAAAAATAGTGAAAATAATCCAACTCGAAGATAGAATACCATTCATGTATTTGAATTTGTATAGTTACTGATTTCAAAAGTGTTCCCCGTACAATGTAACGGTAACGATATTGATCACATTGTACATGGTCTTGTTACTCCATGCGGAGCCTCGCACCATAAATAATTATACCAAACAAGTGGATGTGTCACAACCGACTTCCTTGCACCAAATGCACATGTTCCTTTCAGATTGTAATGCAGACCCTGACAATATACCCATTCAATGGTAAATAGGTTATTAAATATCCTCCTGTAATGTTGACTTTTACAAACATGGTGAGGTTACCATGCCGTAGGATCGTCCTCACTAGCGTGACGGTGACCTGACGAGAAAGTGTATCGATCGAAAACTCCGGCTATATAAAGAGACAACTTTGTGCGCCGTCAGAACGGCATCAGGAACAGAGCAGACGACCGGATTAACAAGACACCATCAAAATGAGGGAAATCGTACACATGCAAGCTGGCCAATGTGGCAACCAGATCGGAGCTAAGGTAAAATACTCTTCTTGTACATCAAAACACAGAGAAATAAGTGATAAACACATTTATTATATTTGTGGTAAATGCGTGTTTGGATTACGGTTTGTCCAAGGAACTGAGAAAATGGCCGACATGTCCTTATTTTGAAATTTATGTCCTCTGGTGATTTAAACGATCAGATAACCATCGTTATTTCCACACATGGATGTTTAAGACTGAAATGGATGTTACGTAATCGGTCGTTATACATTATGTACAGAGGGTATACATATATCTAGATACCGGCTTAAGTCTAATGTTTCTACATAAATTACATAATAATGAGTTGATTATGTGAACCCATCTTGAATATATTACTGTAGGCAATCATGTGATCCGGTATCACACCATACAATTAGAGCAGACGTTCACAACATAACAACAGTTACAACAATTAATATTGAAAGAGTGCCCTCCCAACTCTTGATTCGTTAGAGACACATTCTAGTTCCCTGACATTTCAGTTTTGTGAGAAAAAAAATGGCGAACACACTGATAATCAATTCAGTGAATGTCCGCAATGAGAACGGTTTTACCAATCATCAAAATTATCAGAAACTCTTGCCAACATGTTCTAAACTGCACGCTCTAGACTGTACGCTCTAGACTGTATGTTCTAGGCTGCACGCGAGTGTCTTTAATCTTTCTGAATTGAAAAAAAAATCGATATAAAAATGTAATTTACACACGTGTACATATTATCGATATCTTCACTGGTATTATGAGAACCGTTTCCTTTTACGTAGAAGTTTATTTACAGAACGATATGGCGTTTCTTCTTGGTGATAAATCTAACAACACTAAAATGTTCGTAATAGTTTATCTTTAGATATCTTTCCACACCATGCTTTCTATTCACACGCAACCTAGATCAATATATCAATGCTTCCGCTAGGACTCGAACCACGGACCCCTGTCTTACTAGTCTGACGCTAAACCTATCGAGCTAAATAAAACTTCTCTCTAGCTGAGCGGTATATTGTGGCTAGCATTGACCAGGGTTACACATATAACACTTAGCCTTCGTGTTTTCTACACAAAAAAAAACAAAATATGCCAGAATCTAGCAAATTTCATTTGGTATTAAATTGTAAGTAGGCCCATTATAAAGTGAGTTATCCTCACCAACATGGTTCACGTTTGATAATTATTTCGTTTAAATTTCAGTTCTGGGAGGTTATTTCTGATGAACACGGAATTGACCCCACCGGCACATACCACGGAGATTCTGACCTTCAGTTAGAGAGGATCAACGTGTACTACAATGAAGCCACAGGTAATATATTTTTTCTCTGTACATGTCATTACTATCTGATAACAAGACCTATTTGAATTTAATCCGCAGCATCTTGCATAGTAACGTCTGGTGGGTATTCTTTTATTATCAAATAATACTATTTACCTGTATATTTTTGAAGAAACTTATTACATTTGCGCAGGCTAAACTTTACTGTGTAAATCCGCGTGTCAATTGTATTTCATGCGTTTTGAAATATTCACGTTTACTTTTACTAGCTTTTCTAAGGCACTTGTTATAGATCATTCTTTAAATAATGAATCACGATGAAAGTCCCCATTTATATTGTAACATTAGTGTCGTTTTGTTTTTACTATCGTTATTCCAACATTTCTACACTAACATGTCATGGAAGCTTGCTGCAGTTAAATTTATCATTTGGGATACAGGTATATCATATTTTTCCCTGTATTGTGTGACCTGTACAATTTTTCCCTGTATTGTGTGACCTGTACAATTTTTCCCTGTATTGTGTGACCTGTACAATTTTTCCCTGTATTGTGTGACCTGTACAATTTTTCCCTGTATTGTGTGACCTGTACAATTTTTCCCTGTATTGTGTGACCTGTACAATTTTATCAGACTTTTGGGTTTTCCATTATAGGAGGCAAATATGTTCCCCGAGCTGTCTTGGTTGATCTGGAGCCCGGAACCATGGACTCTGTCAGATCTGGTCCTTTTGGACAAATCTTCAGACCAGACAACTTTGTGTTCGGACAGAGTGGTGCTGGAAACAACTGGGCTAAGGGACATTACACAGAAGGTGCTGAACTTGTAGACTCTGTTCTTGATGTTGTTCGTAAAGAATCAGAGAGCTGTGATTGTCTTCAGGGATTCCAGCTTACACATTCTCTTGGTGGCGGTACCGGCTCTGGAATGGGAACACTCCTCATCTCCAAAATCCGTGAAGAATACCCCGACAGGATCATGAACACCTTCTCAGTTGTACCATCTCCTAAGGTATGCCGTTGTTATTGCTTGTGTTAAGTAACTGATATTTGAATATTTCTAATATCTCGACATTATCATACAAGATAAAAAAAATTATAGAAGAAAATAACAAGGCCTGTGTCAATAACATATATAACATCTAACTGAAGTCTGTTTGTCGTGTATGAAGTGATTGGTGAAAGGCTTTCATGTAAACCCCTTTTTCTCCAGGTATCGGACACCGTGGTCGAACCATACAACGCCACCCTCTCCGTCCACCAACTTGTTGAGAACACTGACGAGACTTTCTGTATCGACAACGAGGCTCTCTACGACATCTGCTTCCGTACCCTCAAACTGACCACACCCACATACGGTGACTTGAACCATCTCGTCTCCGCCACCATGTCCGGAGTTACTACCTGTCTCCGATTCCCTGGTCAACTGAACGCTGATCTCCGTAAATTGGCTGTCAATATGGTTCCCTTCCCCCGTCTCCATTTCTTCATGCCTGGTTTCGCTCCTCTTACATCTCGTGGTAGCCAGCAGTACAGGGCTCTTACCGTCCCAGAGCTGACCCAACAGATGTTCGATGCTAAGAACATGATGGCTGCCTGTGATCCTCGTCATGGACGTTACCTAACCGTCGCCGCTATGTTCCGTGGACGTATGTCCATGAAGGAAGTCGATGAGCAGCTCTTGAACGTCCAGAACAAGAACAGCAGCTACTTCGTTGAATGGATTCCAAACAACGTGAAGACCGCTGTCTGTGACATCCCACCACGTGGTCTCAAGATGTCTGCTACCTTCATTGGTAACAGCACCGCCATCCAGGAGCTCTTCAAGCGTATCTCCGAGCAGTTCACCGCTATGTTCCGTCGTAAGGCTTTCTTGCATTGGTACACTGGTGAGGGTATGGACGAGATGGAGTTCACCGAGGCCGAATCCAACATGAACGACTTGGTGTCCGAGTACCAACAGTACCAGGATGCTACCGCCGAGGAGGAGGGAGAGTTCGATGAAGATGAGGAAGCCGAAGAAGCTTAATTATTATTTAGTAACCATCATCTCCAAAGAACCATCCTATTTCGATAAATTATTCATGACACAGAATTAACATTTACTTATTTGGAAAGGAAATATCGGACTGCCGAACCATGACAGTGATATGCTAAAAAAGCTATTAAAACAAACGATGCTTTGCCAAAGATGAGAAAATTGAAATAAGGCTGAAAAGTAATTCTTCGATACTGTTGTATTTAACAACAAAAACAAATATTACGTTTGCTAAAAGAAGAAAATGGGAATACCACTCAGGGTTGAGAAAGGAGAGACTAAAATAATAATGTACTTTACCAGAATTAAAAATCCAAAGAGAATCGTGATGTTTTGTCTCATTTCATTCAGAATTCACTCAATATTATTATTCATAAAACCATGTCATTCCTCAGGTTTTTCAAACTTTCTTGACTTCCTTGATATTGTGGATATTTTTATTTTGTTCTGTGTACATTTGAAGTGTAATACTGTTGATGTTCAGTTCGATCAAGCAATACTTATACGTAGCGTTATTCGGGTGTTGGAGTTAGGCTACCAGAAATGATATGCTGATTAATCAAGTGGTATTGATACAGATAGGAGGAAACGAGCACGTGGTTCCGTGGTAAACGTTATGATTTCAAGTAATAATGCTTTCGCTAATAAATCATTTATTTTCCCGATTATATGTAATGTTTCTGGGAGGAAAATTCCTGTTCATCCAGTATAGAAACGATTGCCTGGGCTTTATCTTTCAGAATAGAACATATTACCTGGGCTTGTACTTTCAGAATAGAATATATTAGCTGGGCTTGTTCTTTCAGAATAGAATATATTACCTGGGTTTTTTCTTTCAGAATAGAATATATTACCTGGGCTTGTTCTTTCAGAATGGAATATATTACCTGGGCTTGTTCTTTCAGAATGGAATATATTACCTGGGCTTGTTCTTTCAGAATAGAATATATTACCTGGGTTTTTTCTTTCAGAATAGAATATATTACCTGGGCTTGTTCTTTCAGAATAGAATATATTACCTGGGCTTGTTCTTTCAGAATAGAATATATTACCTGGGTTTTTTCTTTCAGAATAGAATATATTACCTGGGCTTGTTCTTTCAGAATGGAATATATTACCTGGGCTTGTTCTTTCAGAGTAGAATATATTACCTGGGCTTGTACATTCAGAACAGAACATATTACCTGGGTTTTTTCTTCCAGAATAGAATATTTTACCTAAGCTTGTTCTTTCAGAATAGAATATTTCACCTGTACTTGAGATATACTTTTCTTAATTCGAAGGCTGACATTCTGAAGCAAAATCTCAGTGGCAGAAAAGCCGACAGTTAATCATAGTATGTCGGTCAGAGATTAGAGATATATCTCAAACCTATGAAGGAAATGAATTGTTTTCTCGTACAATGTCTCGCTGACAACTGTTTATAAACATGTAATAACTGCTTCCAAGTCATTACGCTCCTATTTGGAAGATACCTTTTTTTTGTTGTGTATCAAAATGAGAAATAGACATGACGTCAGTATAATCATGGTGTGTTGTTACATGTAACGCGTAAAGATACAAGACTGGCGAGAGAGAGAAATATGGCGCCTAAGATTTTCCTTTCTCAATTCGCAAACCTGGTCTTACTCTCAATGCGCGATTTGGTTGATCTTGGTTAAATAATCCACGATCTTTACATCAGTTATAAGTATAATTATATTGGCAATTACAGGGCGATGATCTTAGTTTTTGACAAAGGGAGTAAAACGAAAAAATCAACATAAATTATTTTGACATTTCTAAGATTTATCCTACAAATGTAAATCTCTGATTGACTACCAGAAAGCCTAGATATGAATGACATTGTATTAATACATTTATACATGTGGATGTATCGATGTGTGAAATTCTACCCATGATGGAATGAACAAAATCAATACCACGTGGTATAACAGAACCAGGACAGTAGACTAGCCAATCACGCTTCTCTTACGATAAATGAAAGCACCATTTCTCTCACAACTAATCAAGCAATAAAGATCTCTTACAACTAATCAAGCAATACAATTATCTTACGACAAGCAAAAACATAAAGTTCTCTTACAACTGAGCAAGTAATACAGTTCTCTTACGACAAGTAAAAACATAAAGATCTCTTACAACTAATCAAGCAATAAAGTTCTCTTACGACAAGTAAAAACATAAAGATCTCTTACAACTAATCAAGCAATAAAGTTCTCTTACGACAAGTAAAAACATAAAGTTCTCTCACAACTAATCAAGCAATACAGTTTTCTTACAAGCAAAAACATAAAGTTCTCTTACAACTAATCAAGCAATAAAGTTCTCTTACGACAAGCAAAAACATAAAGATCTCTTACAACTAATCAAGCAATAAAGTTCTCTTACGACAAGCAAAAACATAAAGTTCTCTTACAACTAATCAAGCAATAAAGTTCTCTTACGACAAGTAAAAACATAAAGATCTCTTACAACTAATCAAGCAATAAAGTTCTCTTACAACTAATCAAGCAATAAAGATCTCTTACAACTAATCAAGCAATAAAGTTCTCTTACGACAAGCAAAAACATAAAGATCTCTTACAACTAATCAAGCAATAAAGTTCTCTTACGACAAGTAAAAACATAAAGATCTCTTACAACTAATCAACTAATCAAGCAATAACAAGTTAAAGTTCTCTTACAACTAATCAAGCAAGTAAAAACATAAAGATCTCTTACAACTAATCAAGCAATAAAACGACGACAAGTAAAAACATAAAGCAAAAACATAAAGTTCTCTTACAACTAATCAAGCAATAAAGTTCTCTTACGACAAGCAAAAACATCACGTTCTCTCACAACTAATCAAGCAATAAAGTTCTCTTACGACAAGTAAAAACATAAAGATCTCTTACAAAAAACAATAAAGTAAAAACAAAAAACAATAAAGTTCTCTTACGACAAGTAAAAACATAAAGTTCTCTTACAACTAATCAAGCAATAAAAACATAAAGTCTCTTCTAAGTTCTAGCAAGTAAAAACATAAAGATCTCTTACAACTAATCAAGCAATAAAGACAAGTAAAAACATAAAGATCTCTTACAACTAATCAAGCAATAAAGTTCTCTTACGACAAGTAAAAACATAAAGATCTCTTACAACTAATCAAGCAATAAAGTTCTCTTACGACAAGTAAAAACATAAAGTTCTCTTACAACTAATCAAGCAATAAAGTTCTCTTACAACTAATCAAGCAATACAATTCTCTTACGACAAGTGAAAACATAAAGTTCTCTTACAACTAATCAAGCAATAAAGTTCTCTTACGACAAGCAAAAACATAAAGATCTCTTACAACTAATCAAGCAATAAAGTTTTCTTACAAGTAAAAACATAAAGATCTCTTACAACTAATCAAGCAATACAGTTCTCTTACGACAAGTAAAAACATAAAGTTCTCTTACAACTAATCAAGCAATAAAGTTCTCTTACGACAAGTAAAAACATAAAGATCTCTTACAACTAATCAAGCAATACAGTTTTCTTACAAGTAAAAACATAAAGATCTCTTACAACTAATCAAGCAATAAAGATCTCTTACAACTAATCAAGCTTACGACAAGTAAAAACATTCTCTTACAACTAATCAAGCAATAAAAACAATAAAGATCTCTTCTCTACGACAAGTAAAAACATAAAGATCTCTTACAACTACAACTAAGTTTTCTTACAAGCAAAAACATAAAGTTCTCTTACAACTAATCAAGCAATAAAGTTCTCTTACGACAAGTAAAAACATAAAGTTCTCTTACAACTAATCAAGCAATAAAGTTCTCTTACGACAAGTAAAAACATAAAGTTCTCTTACAACTAATCAAGCAATAAAGTTCTCTTACGACAAGTAAAAACATAAAGATCTCTTACAACTAATCAAGCAATAAAGTTCTCTTACGACAAGTAAAAACATAAAGATCTCTTACAACTAATCAAGCAATACAGTTTTCTTACGACAAGTAAAAACATAAAGTTCTCTCTTACAACTAATCAAGCAATACAGTTCTCTTACGACAAGTAAAAAGCAAAAACATAAACAAGTAAAAACATAAAGATCTCTTTCTCTTACAACTAATCAAGCAATACGACAAGTAAAAACATTCTCTTACAACTAATCAAGCAATACAGTTTTCTTACAAGCAAAAACATAAAGTTCTCTTACAACTAATCAAGCAATACAGTTCTCTTACGACAAGTAAAAACATAAAGATCTCTTACAACTAATCAAGCAATACAGTTTTCTTACAAGTAAAAACATAAAGATCTCTTACAACTAATCAAGCAATACAGTTCTCTTACGACAAGTAAAAACATAAAGTTCTCTCACAACAAATCAAGCAATACAGTTTTCTTCTAAAATAACAAAAACAATGAACTTGCTTTACGTCTTATCAATGAAGTTTTTCACAACTAACGAAAATTATAGACTACTCTTAAAACTTCTGGTAACATTTCTTTTACACTTAATAAAAACAATATACCTCTACTACAACTGGTTACATACTTTTTGCAAGTAACACAAACAATAAGTTTCTCTTACCATAAGTGAAAACAATACAAACATAACAGTACCTGTATGTACAGGTAATCCTATATTTATTGTATGATACGAGTACAATTTTACAGGTAATCCTATATTTATTGTATGATACCAGTACAATTTTACAGATAATCCTATATTTATTGTATGATACGAGTACAATTTTACAGGTAATCCTATATTTATTGTATAATACCAGTACAATTTTACAGATAATCCTATATTTATTGTATGTTCTCTTACAACTAATCAATACGAGTACAATTTTACAGATAATCCTATATTTATTGTATGATACGAGTACAATTTTATTGCAAGTTATGAGTAATGTTATATAGAGGTATGATAAACGAATCATGCCAACGATAGATGTATAATATCAGTTTAGTAATGATTTAGATAAGTAAGGATTTTATTGTGAGTCTATATTTAGACGTGTGATAAGCATGGTATTCCTAATGGATACCATTACACTACAGTGTAAAGAGAGGTATGGCATTCAGGAATGTTGGTTTGATGCAATGTGACCTGAAGTTTGGAGTAATACTGTTTGAAACATGTCGAGAAATTCTACATAATGTTATCTTACAGGCATTTCTGTACAGAGCAACAGTAATCTTTTCAATGTCCTTATCAAATATTTACACTTCACGAACGTTACGTTTACGTCATATTTTCATTATTTATAGATTAATCGATATGTTACTCAGAAAATATCTGTAAACTGCTAGTGAAGATTCTCCTGTTAAACAATGATATTCTACACAGGTAACTTAAAACAAAGCCTTGTAATAGATCTTTGGTCACCCTCCTGTATATATCACCGCCGACCAACCAGCCAGGTAATAAAAATCTTATCAGTGGATTATCAGTACAGAATTCTCACCGGGACCGTTTAGAATAATAGTCAATCACACAAGGGTTTGTTTGCCTAACGCCATAGCTCCGGTATAAAGGGCCGAGAGTGCCCGCCACACAAACCATTAGTAAGGCAGACAACCAGACACCAACAACTAACAACATGAGGGAAATCGTGCACATGCAAGCTGGCCAGTGCGGCAACCAGATCGGTGCAAAGGTAGACATTTACAAATTATTTGAAAGGAAAACATTTTCCTTATTATAGCATACTTTAAGTATTGTTATTTGACTGAAATAGAAAAGGTCATATTGTTATTGAAATTGTTTTGTACTATGTAAACGGACATGAGTTTATTTTATGGGATACTATATTCTGATGTACACACTAACTCAAATATCTCTGCTTTAGTTCTGGGAGGTTATTTCTGATGAACACGGAATTGACCCCACCGGTACATACCACGGAGATTCTGACCTTCAGTTAGAGAGGATCAACGTGTACTACAATGAAGCCACAGGTAAGGAAAATAATTCATTCCTACCTACCTCGCTAACCACTTCTGTAATAACTAAATCGTCACTGGCACACAGAAACAACTTTGTAAAAATATAATTACATTAAAAATTCTATATCACAACAATGGTTTCATTATTGATGTTCTCTAATGAATACGTCTTGCACCTTTACAGGAGGCAAATATGTTCCCCGAGCTGTCTTGGTTGATCTGGAGCCCGGAACCATGGACTCCGTCAGATCTGGTCCTTTTGGACAAATCTTCAGACCAGACAACTTTGTGTTCGGACAGAGTGGTGCTGGAAACAACTGGGCTAAAGGACATTACACAGAAGGTGCTGAGCTTGTAGACTCTGTTCTTGATGTTGTTCGTAAAGAATCAGAGAGCTGTGATTGTCTCCAGGGATTCCAGCTTACACATTCTCTTGGCGGTGGTACCGGCTCCGGCATGGGAACACTCCTCATCTCCAAAATCCGTGAAGAATACCCCGACAGGATCATGAACACATTCTCTGTTGTACCATCTCCTAAGGTAAATACTGGAAACTTTAATAAAGTGGTAAATTTTCCTTTCGACATATCCAGGTAGAATAACTATGTGTCTGAAACATGCTACCTTTTTTTCTCTCTTGTTAATTTATTGTGCTGATTTCTTATATTTCTCTTCCGATATTTTGAACTGAAAAATGTTTTAAAACATAATATTTTCAGGTATCAGACACCGTTGTCGAACCATACAACGCCACCCTCTCCGTCCACCAACTTGTCGAGAACACAGACGAGACCTACTGTATCGACAACGAGGCTCTCTACGACATCTGCTTCCGTACCCTCAAGCTGACCACACCCACATACGGTGACTTGAACCATCTCGTCTCCGCCACCATGTCCGGAGTCACCACCTGTCTCCGATTCCCTGGTCAACTGAACGCCGATCTCCGTAAATTGGCTGTCAACATGGTTCCCTTCCCCCGTCTCCATTTCTTCATGCCTGGTTTCGCTCCTCTTACATCTCGTGGTAGCCAGCAGTACAGGGCTCTTACCGTCCCAGAGCTGACCCAACAGATGTTCGACGCCAAGAACATGATGGCTGCCTGTGATCCTCGTCACGGGCGTTATCTGACCGTGGCCACCATGTTCCGTGGACGTATGTCCATGAAGGAAGTTGATGAACAGCTCCTGAACGTTCAGAACAAGAACAGCAGCTACTTTGTTGAATGGATCCCCAACAATGTGAAGACCGCCGTCTGTGATATTCCACCACGTGGTCTCAAGATGTCTGCTACCTTTGTTGGTAACAGCACCGCCATCCAGGAGCTCTTCAAGCGTATCTCCGAGCAGTTCACCGCTATGTTCCGTCGTAAGGCTTTCTTGCATTGGTACACTGGTGAGGGTATGGACGAGATGGAGTTCACCGAGGCCGAATCCAACATGAACGACTTGGTGTCCGAATACCAACAGTACCAGGATGCCACCGCCGAGGAGGAGGGAGAGTTCGAGGAGGAAGCAGAAGAAGAAGCTTAAATCTAGGGAATAAGTTCACAACAACATAATAATAAGGATTTATTAACACTGCCATTGGAAAATGAAGTTTGACCCCTTAGAGTCATTTGATTATATCTCAGAAACTGTATTTTACAAAAATATAGAAAATATTGAAGCATTATTATATTTGACTATGATTATGTTATTTATTTTACTGTTTCATTGTTTCCTTGTTAAATCAATGAGTAAGAATTAAATTCTATAAAAAGAGCTGTGTGTTCTATCTTTATACTCGTCCCTCTACTCAAAGGTTGGTCTGGTGATTTAAATATTTAGAAAACATATCATGAACTGAAAAACAAACAATCAGAAAACAAAGACAAAATAACAACTTTATCAGTATACTATTCCAAAGGTACGCAAAATCAAAATATGTGTTAGTTTTATTACGATATTCCGGCTTAAAGACGTATATAATCAGTTTTTGACAGTATCCGACAGACTGGTTCTAATCTTTATTCCAAATTAATTTTAAATTACTTGTGTTGTCAAAATTTGAAAAAAGAACTTTTATTAAATTTTGAAAAAACAAATCTCAAAACGAGATTTTGAAACTCATGATATTAATAAGAACAAAATTAAATAACTTTAAAAGAAATTAGTAAATAAATAATGTAAAAATAAATGATTATAATATTGACTTGTTGGTAGTTTATAGGATTTTTTTTATCATCTAAGTAAACGATAAAATTCAGAGAAAGGTAAATACTGCCCCTTCACTTGCTAATTGACTACATATCATTTATTGGTACGAGCACACCTTTAGATAGCATCAGGTAAGATTGACACAATGAGGACGGACTTGTACACGTACGTACATATCCTGGTTCTAATAGTTCATTTAGTAACACTGAAAATTCCTTCCGGTGCCTCTGTTATATTTTATCTGTTTTATTATATTGATAAGATATTATTGCGGTTATGGTTATTATAATAGTTAAATCTAAATGTGGGGTCATGTACGTATAAATAGAACCTATTTCTAGGTTTTCACAATAAGTGAACTCATTTCTGTTGGTGATACTATTTTAATTCGAGGAGACCATTTTCCACTATATTCGAGGATGGGATAAAAAAAAATCTGTTGAAAATTATTCATGTATTCGAAGAAAATCATATTCCTTCCATATCAACTCCTGATAAAATTTCCAAAAATAGAACACTAAAAAACAATCCATACAGTAACATTTCTCCCCTTTATAGACTATAAAGATAGTTTACATGTAATATGAGGAGAACGCATCAATGCATTTAGAATGTCGCGGGTCCTTTATATGTGTTAGACTATGGCGTGTGAAATGCTACATTTTCTAATCATTTATGTTAAGAACCTTGAGATTTGTAAACAGTATCGTATAAAACTAATGTCATCTTTTCTAAAACTTGTTACAAGATGCATGTTTAGATTACAAGATTTAAATAATGAAACAAATTGCAAAATGTAAAACAGAAATTTTATGATATAAATCAGGCAATTTTTCGATTATAAATCACAAGATTAAGTGAATTATTCACAAGATTAAGAACATGAAACAATAGAATAAGAGTTATAAGAATATAAAGGAGTTAAAACACAATATTAAGACTAAATGGCAAGATTAAGAATATGAAATGAAAAATAATTATAATATAAACATAAAGATTCATTTTAAGAACATGGATGACATATTTAACTCTATAACATACGAGACAGAAAACAAACCACATCAGGGATGATCCTAACACAAGATTACAACATCAATTACAAAATAAAATTAAATATAGATGAATAGATGTAGGATATAAAACACATGATTTACAAATATTAATAACATGATTTCACGAATAGAAATCACAAGTTTGACAATATAAACACATGATACTCAATATAAATGATATGATTTCACTAATAGAAATCACAAGTTTGACAATATAAACACATGATACTCAATATAAATGATATGATTTCACTAATAGAAATCACAAGTTTGACAATATACAACACATGATATGATTTCAATATAAATGATAAACACATGATTTCATATGAACAGAAATCACAAGTTTGACAATATAAACACATGATACTCAAGATGAAACAAAAGAAATGGAATATAAATCTCAGTATATTGCACATATAAAAGAGTGTACAAAAAGACACAGAAGTGAATAACACCTTTTTATACAAATTTATGGTTAGATACAGCTACTGATGTTTAAATATTGGACTGATTTACACGTCACTCCGTCAAAATTTGTCTGTGACACTAATCATCTGCGATTGTTACCTCCGAGGTTTTATGTACTGTGGCTGTGCTGTCACTATAGAAAGATAAATATAATTTAACATTTTCAGTTTCCCCATGGAGATAACGACAACATTACCAAATATTAGTAATAAATGACACAAAATCACTATGTGAGGTCATGAAAATAAGTAACCCAATCTTGTATAAAATGTTGGCAGAGTATTGCACACCCGATATCCCAGTTATGTCTGTATGTTAAACAAGGTATGTCATTGATCTGATAAGGTCGTCCCTAAACAAGACAGCTCCACTGTGATAAAACCGCTATCCTGTCGTTATCTTTAATTCCGATTAGTCGCTTCAACCCGTACAAATAATATCAAATCATTCACATGGATCGGTAAACCTGCGCCATAAGGCCGGTATAAAAAGCTAGAAAACCTTTGTCAGAGCAGTTAGAACGGAGATTTACCAACACTTCGGAAACGCAGACAGCCTCAATTACCAAAATGAGGGAAATTGTACATATGCAGGCCGGCCAGTGCGGCAACCAGATTGGTGCTAAGGTAATTAGTTTCATTTTAAGTAATTTGTAGAAACTTCAGTTGTATAGACATGGAACCATATCGCCTCTAAAGAATGTATCCAAGTAACACAGGATCATCTAACAAGCTACAGGCTAAAGGACTCACTTCTCACTGATAGATAGTGTAATGTCCTCCGGATATATCTATTACCAAAATATACTATTCACAACAGCGAAATTTGTCGATTGATGCCAATTAATAGAAACGAGTAATTAGTGTCAAATTTTGAAAACATGGGGTTATCATCATTTGAAAGAAAATGGGTTTAAATTAGTAAATACCAAGTGATGATAGATAACGGTCGCTTCAACTATTCCTTATACCTGTACATTAAGTGTTAGCCTCGATAGGTCATTCTGTGAGATCTCATAGGGAATATCGATGTGTTTCAGTTCTGGGAGGTTATTTCTGATGAACACGGAATTGACCCTACCGGTACATACCACGGAGATTCTGACCTTCAGTTAGAGAGGATCAACGTGTACTACAATGAAGCCACAGGTAATATTGTCGGTTTTAAAAAGTGATACAGAAGTGATAAGAATTTGATCATACATATGTTTGAATGCATACTCCCAATCAATCGAAATCATCATTTAGGAAATTTTGTTAACATTGATCTCTGAATATGCAATTCCAGGAGGCAAGTATGTTCCCCGAGCTGTCTTGGTTGATCTGGAGCCCGGAACCATGGACTCTGTCAGATCTGGTCCTTTTGGACAAATCTTCAGACCAGACAACTTTGTGTTCGGACAGAGTGGTGCTGGAAACAATTGGGCTAAGGGACATTACACAGAAGGTGCTGAGCTTGTAGACTCTGTCCTTGATGTGGTACGAAAAGAAGCAGAGAGCTGTGATTGTCTTCAGGGATTCCAGCTTACACATTCTCTTGGCGGTGGTACCGGCTCCGGCATGGGAACACTCCTCATCTCCAAAATCCGTGAAGAATACCCCGACAGGATCATGAACACCTTCTCAGTAGTACCATCACCCAAGGTAAATATTAAACATAATTAACAAAAAAACTCACCTGTAATGATGAAGCCAGCGAGTAACGAAAACCAACTATTTCAGAATATGTTCGTGCATTCAAATTCCTTTTTGCCATTATTCATATAAATTTCACAGGTACTGTTGAAGGAAGGACAATATGTAAGACACTTGAAATGTAGATGTATACATTTGTCCGCCCCAGTTCCTTTACAATAATACTATCGGTAATAATGATACTGAAATTGCTGTTTGTGACGTCACAATGCTCTTAGTGGCCATTTCATTTCATATTTTGTCTGTTATCGTTACTGAATTAACTTGATCGTATAAGACGTACTTTTCACTCATTATGGGAAGATACCCAATCATAATCAAATGTGACTACAAATAACAAAGTCTTACCTGAATATGATTATAGTCGATTCAAGTGCATCTTGCAAATCTTCAATATAAGACTAAGCGATGATTGCAATTTCGTTACCTAAAACAACTCAGAAAATACTTCGATTTTAAAAAATCATTTCTGGTTGAATATCGATTGGCAATAATAGAATTTACTACCAACCGGAAAATCGAACTGGGGCCGTCTTGGAGAAAGGCATGTGCGCAACCAGTTGTGACACCAAATCTTCCGAACAACTGAATGAGAACAATAAAATTATATTTCATTTTTCAGGTATCAGACACAGTTGTCGAGCCATACAACGCCACCCTCTCCGTCCACCAACTTGTCGAGAACACAGACGAGACCTACTGTATCGATAACGAGGCTCTCTACGACATCTGCTTCCGTACCCTAAAACTGACTACACCCACATACGGTGACTTGAACCATCTCGTCTCCGCCACCATGTCCGGAGTCACCACCTGTCTCCGATTCCCTGGTCAACTGAATGCCGATCTCCGTAAATTGGCTGTCAACATGGTTCCCTTCCCCCGTCTCCATTTCTTCATGCCTGGTTTCGCCCCTCTTACATCTCGTGGTAGCCAGCAGTACAGGGCTCTTACCGTCCCAGAGCTGACCCAACAGATGTTCGACGCCAAGAACATGATGGCTGCCTGTGATCCTCGTCATGGACGTTACCTGACCGTCGCCGCCATGTTCCGTGGACGTATGTCCATGAAGGAAGTTGATGAACAGATGTTGAACGTCCAGAACAAGAACAGCAGCTACTTCGTTGAATGGATTCCAAATAATACCAAAACCGCCGTCTGTGACATCCCACCACGTGGTCTGAAGATGTCTGCTACCTTCATTGGTAACAGCACCGCCATCCAGGAGCTCTTCAAGCGTATCTCCGAGCAGTTCACAGCTATGTTCCGTCGTAAGGCTTTCTTGCATTGGTACACTGGTGAGGGTATGGACGAGATGGAGTTCACCGAGGCCGAATCCAACATGAACGACTTGGTGTCCGAATACCAACAGTACCAGGATGCCACCGCCGAGGAGGAGGGAGAGTTCGAGGAGGAAGGCGAAGAAGATGCTTAAATCTAGGGAATAAGTTCACAACAACATAATGATAGCTGAAGAAGAGACAGAGGATGCATAGACACCTACGACTAAATATAAAACTTCGCATAGACATAATAAATTTGTGGGGAAAAATAAACTTCCCTGGGCATCAAATAAGTTTTGAACTATAACATCACAAATTATCTGAAATACAAATAAAAAATTACAATGTAAAATGCATTTGTAACAAAGTGCAGAGAAAGTCGTGTTTGTATCTCATTCCAAAACCGTAATACAAAACTTGGAAAAATAAAACCAAACATCACATCGATGCGACATTCCTGACTTTGTTATCTATTGGGGTGTTTGATCTGGACGATTGACCTGGCACATATGGGGAGACACAACTTTATCTGATTTCAAAACTTTTCTCGAAGGGTCTTGTTTCTACATTCTCAATTTTGTCTTGAATACTAGGGCACGTATTCATGAAACCGTTCTCATGCTCAAGCAGGAATTTGTGCTCCAGCCTTATGTCTTGTTTAAGTTAAATATTAATAAATAAGGCTGGTTTTGCGGAAGATTTCAAAACAGCTTTGAAGGGACTTCAAGTCTTAGCTATATTCAAGGTTTAAATTTGACATTTGTATTATTTTATATAATTTAGGTGAATTATAAAAAAGTTTGCTTGAGCATGAGAATGGTTTCATGAATACAGGCCCAGGTACTTTTCTTCTTCGGTGTTGGAATGAAGGAACGTATGTAATATTTACATACACTAAATAAAAATCTCAATGTTTGTATTAATAATGGTATCAGAAAATAACAGTGATCTGTCTTCTAGTAATGAAACTGAAATGACACATAACAAATATGTTTCCCCCGGTACTGAATTGATTGGATTTTTCTACCAGCATGTAACACTTTGTTTATATCTGAAGTATAATGCCATATCGTTTGTTATCAAAAGTATCTATTTAATTAGCAAATGAAATGCGAGATTGTTTCTTGCACTATTGTTCTATCTTGATAAATCAATGCTGAAAATTAAAGAACTTCGACTAACAGAACAAATCAAATTGCAAAAACAAACAAAAACAGAAAACAAAAATGAATTGATGTTCCCCATAACAATTCACTAAATCTTCAACTACCGAAAATATGACTGAAACAAAAATGTTGTTGTACGATACCAACAAAGACTAGATAAGAAAACGATTACATTTTGTCTTTCAGATATCATTTTACCTTCTAGAAATAGTCTACAATATGTAGAATGATTTGCTAATTTATATGGGTTGACCGAGAATACGTAGATAATATCGTTGTTACTTATTACTTCCTTAATTATGATATCGAATGTTCCTTTGGTTAATGGAAACATGATTTAAATGGCATTTGAAATCTTTATTCGTGTAAATAGTTAACTGCTATTATAGTGAGTAGACCTTCGTTATCAAAATTTAAATTTCTATTGATTGAAATACAATAAAGACAAGATGTGATATGATAACTGGTAACTCAAAATTGATAGACTTAAATGAAAAACATTTGTTATCAAAAATAGAAATTAAAATTATTAAAATTTCTATTGATTTAAATACGTTCGAGACAAAATGTGATATTATAAGAGGTGATTTAAAATTGATAGACTTAAATCAGAATATTGTTTATTACTTTTAAGCATTTAGAAATGGAAATAGATACCCATTTTATGAATGCATGTTTATGCTAGTATTTTAATTAAATCAAACTTGTGTTGATTAACTGAAAACAATTGGTGATATTATGAAAATCTGAAATCTGGTTTACTACGGCTAATCACTATAAATGGAGAAAGTTTATGCAATGAAATGTCAATAGTAAATACTTTTAGAAAATGAGAATTAAGATGGTAATTAGAATCATCAGAATACCACGTGTATATACAACGTAACGTGTCGGTCAATATTTCTACTAAAGGGCTGAAGATATCTGACAACTTTTTATATGAACACAAATTGATGTATAGCGGGTGGTTATATTTGAATTTTATTTTCACAAAACAAAAATCCGTGAAAGCGAATATTTCTATATATGATGGAGTCTTGTTATCATAAATCATAACCATAGAGATCCCAACAATATTACACAAGCAAAAGCTTATATAGACACTTTGTTCATTCATTCGTAATAACATTACTTCTATTCCTCAGAAAAAAATAAAATCAAAACCGACCACAGTATATTCGTAGTTTAACCGTGAAAATCTGTCTATTGTTCATAGTTTGCCCTAGTTTTATAAAATTTGAGTTTGGATTATGATTATGTCGATATGTTGGTATTTTCTTGATCTGTTTTTTACCTCAGTAATTCAAGGAAGGGAGACAATCTGAATCTCCGTGTCAGATAGATTTCATGTTCCATAGAGTTTGTTGAGTTAGGTTGTAAACAACAAATGACGCGGGAACTATTATTATCAGTTATCCGTCCAAAACAGAAAACAAAATGATTCAACACTAAGCAGTGACACTCTGAAATGAAACACAAACACCACCATTTGGTAGATATTAGATATTGGTAACGTTCGTTTTGGGAACCACTAAAATAGCTGAATATAATGTAAAAATAAAGGAAAGAAACATGAAAAATGAGTAATTTGTCGATAAACGAATAAAGGGCCGGGAAACTGATACTAACTGATCATACGGAACGAGGACACGTCACATAAACCAAGTACTTACTACCATATCAACTAAACTGAATTGACCATCGGTCAACACGGGACGAAGAACCCTCCAAAAGGCACGTTTTCTAATAATTAACCGAGATATTTTGATTTTTAATTCTTGTGGCCTTTATTTTAATCAAAACAACGTATCATTACAGAAAGTCATCACATACAACTCATTTTAATATTCTTAGAAAGTTTATCGTAATTCTGTCGTTTGGACGAGTGGGTCAATATTTAGATAGATATGTACTACTTTAATTCCTTTTGTCGTCGACGTTTACGACACAGCTACATATAATTATATGGGTTATATAAGAACGTAAGTTATATCTACAACACTATAGATAATAGGTAATCCTCAGGTAGAGATATTTCCTACTGTTTCTGCACAATAAAAATTAACCATGTTATCAGATAATGATCTTTCATTTTTAGAGTTGGAAGCACCAGTACTTCCCTGTAATCTCTGACTGTGTCCTTACCTGTACTGTAAGATTCTACCTGTCCTTCCCTGTAATGTCTGACTGTACCTGTCCTTCCCTGTAATGTCTGACTGTACCTGTCCTTCCCTGTAATGTCTGACTGTACCTGTCCTTCCCTGTAATGTCTGACTGTACCTGTCCTTCCCTGTAATGTCTGACTGTACCTGTCCTTCCCTGTAATGTCTGACTGTACCTGTCCTTCCCTGTAATGTCTGACTGTACCTGTCCTTCCCTAAAATGTCTGACTGTACCTGTCCTTCCCTGTAATGTCTGACTGTACATATCCTTCCCTGTAATGTCTGACTGTACATATCCTTCCCTGTAATGTCTGGCTGTACCTGTCCTTCCCTGTAATGTCTGACTGTACATATCCTTCCCTGTAATGTCTGACTGTACCTGTCCTTCCCTGTAATGTCTTACTGTACCTGTCTGACTATACCTGTCCTTCCCTATAATGTCTGACTGTACCTGTCCTTCCCTGTAATGTCTTACTGTACCTGTCCTTCCCTATAATGTCTGGCTGTACCTGTCCTTCTCTGTAATGTCTGACTGTACCTGTCCTATAATGTCTGACTGTACCTGTCCTTCCCTGTAATGTCTTACTGTACCTGTCCTTCCCTGTAATGTCTGACTGTACCTTTCCTATAATGTCTGACTGTACCTTCCCTATAATGTCTGAGTGTATATGTCCTTCCCTATAATGTCTGGCTGTACTTGTCCTTCCCTGTAATGTCTGACTGTACCTGTCCTTCCCTGTAATGTCTGACTGTACCTGTCCTATAATGTCTGACTGTACCTGTCCTTCCCTGTAATGTCTGACTGTACCTGTCCTTCCCTGTAATGTCTGACTGTACATGTCCTTCCCTATAATGTATGAATGTACCTGTCCTCCCCTGTAATATCTGACTGTACCTGTCCTTCCCTGTAATGTCTGACTGTACCTTTCCTATAATGTCTGACTGTACCTTCCCTATAATGTCTGAGTGTATATGTCCTTCCCTATAATGTCTGGCTGTACCTGTCCTTCCCTGTAATGTCTGACTGTACATGTCCTTCCCTATAATGTATGAATGTACCTGTCCTCCCCTGTAATATCTGACTGTACCTGTCCTCCCCTGTAATGCCTGACTGTACCTGTCCTTCCCTATAATGTCTGACTGTACCTGTCCTTCCCTATAATGTCTTACTGTACCTGCCCTTCCATGTAATGTCAGACTGTACCTGTCCTTCCCTGTAATGTCTGACTGTACCTTTCCTATAATGTCTTACTGTACCTTCCCTATAATGTCTTAGTGTATATGTCCTTCCCTATAATGTCTGGCTGTACCTGTCCTTCCCTGTAATGTCTGACTGTACCTTTCCTTCCCTGTAATGTCTGACTGTACCTGTCCTTCCCTGTAATGTCTGACTGTACCTGTCCTTCCCTGTAATGTCTGACTGTACCTGCCCTTCCCGGTAATGTCTGACTGTACCTGTCCTTCCCTGTAATGACTGACTGTACCTGTCCTTCCCTGTAATGACTGACTGTACCTGTCCTTCCCTGTAATGTCTGACTGTACCTGTCCTTCCCTGTAATGTCTGACTGTACCTTCCCTGTAATGTCTGACTGTACCTGTCCTTCCCTGTAATGACTGACTGTACCTTCCCTATAATGTCTGACTGTACCTGTCCTTCCCTATAATGTCTGACTGTACCTTTTATATAATGTCTGACAGTACCTGTCCTTCCCTGTAATGTCTGACTGTACCTGTCCTTCCCTGTAATGTCTAACTGTACCTGTCCTTCCCTTTAATGTCTGACAGTACCTGTCCTTCCCTGTAATGTCTGACTGTACCTGTCCTTCCCTGTAATGTCTGACTGTACCTGTCCTTCCCTATAATGTCTGACTGTACCTTTTATATAATGTCTGACAGTACCTGTCCTTCCCTGTAATGTCTGACTGTACCTGTCCTTCCCTGTAATGTCTAACTGTACCTGTCCTTCCCTTTAATGTCTGACTGTACCTGTCCTTCCCTTTAATGTCTGACTCTACCTGTCCTTCCCTATAATATCTTACTGTACCTGTCCTTCCCTATAATGTC